TTTCCTCACCCTCTGCCCCTCCCCCTGCTCAAGCTCTCTCTCTCAAATAAATAAATTTTTTTTTTAATTCTATACATGCTTATGGTTATATTTTGTCTTCTTTTGTAACCCCATTTTGGGGGTAATTTTCTTTTCTTCTTTTAAGATTTTTAAGATTTTATTTATTTATTTGACAGAGATCACAAGTAGGCAGAGAGACAGGCAGAGAGAGAGGAGGGGAAGCGGGCTCCCTGCTGAGCAGAGAGCCTGATGCGGGATCGATCCCAGGATGCTGGGATCATGACCTGAGCTGAAGGCAGAGGCTTTAACCCACTGAGCCACCAAGGCGCCCTGGGGGTAATTTTCATTTAGAGAAACACTTTGAATGAAAGAGGAACTTTTCTCAGAATATTATATTTATATTTGCAACCATCAGTAAAGTGTCTTTGCTTTCAGTTGATTCTTTTTCTGAGAAGAGATGGAATATAGTCCAGGAAAGAGAAAGTGCCATTTGACTGGGCACTTGTGCTCTTGGGGGAGAATCAGCAAATGTGGAGGATTAGGAACCAGGAGAAAGAATGGTTCATGCCAGCCACATTCATCAGTCATGGAATATACCCAGCTGCAGGGGAACGGCAGCTACCCAGAGCCCTATACAGGGACTGCCCTCACACGCGTGGCACCTCACAGTTGCCATTGACTGGGTCAAGTATCAACACTCGGTTAATTAGCCACAATTCTCAGGATCTAAGGGTGTCAGCCAGGGGTCTGCCTGTTCACATGGAGAGATCGCCGCTTGGAACTGAGAGGTTCTGGGGTCTGGCCCTGCAGCTGGCTGGCTCCGCGATGATTGTCAGGGGACTGGAGTGACTCAGCCGTGGAGAACAGCAGGCAGTAATTTCACTGTTGCTTGTTATCTGTCCCTCTCTCCACTGAATGCTGCTGGCTGGTAGCAAAGGCCTGAAAGGGACGGCTGGGAGAGAACAATAAGGAGAGACAGGAAAACACTAAATAACATCCTTAGCTAAAGTCACGTGAACATCCTCTAAAGAGTCATGGTGACCGGCCAGGCCCAGCTGTGGTTTTTTTTTTTTGCTTTTTTTTTTAATTTTTAAATTTATTTTCAGCGTAACAGTATTCATTGTTTTTGCACCACACCCAGTGCTCCATGCAATCCATGCCCTCTCTAATACCCACCACCTGGTTCCCCCAACCTCCCACCTCCTGCCTCTTCAAACCCCTCAGATTGTTTTTCAGAGTCCATAGTCTCTCATGGTTCACCTCCCCTTCCAATTTCCCTCAACTCCCTTCTCCTCTCTAACTCCCCTTGTCCTCCATGCTATTTGTTATGCTCCACAAATAAGTGAAACCATATGATAATTGACTCTCTCTGTTTGACTTATTTCACTCAGCATAATCTCTTCCAGTCCCGTCCATGTTGCTACAAAAGTTGGGTATTCATCCTTTCTGATGGAAGCATAATACTCCATAGTGTATATGGACCACATCTTCCTTATCCATTCGTCCGTTGAAGGGCATCTTGGTTCTTTCCACAGTTTGGCGACCGTGGCCATTGCTGCTATAAACATTGGGGTACAGATGGCTCTTCTTTTCACTACATCTGTATCTTTGGGGTAAATACCCAGTAGTCAGGCCAGCTGGTTTTAAATGAAACACAAAATTTGCTTTTGGAAATCCTTGAGACTGGAAACACAGGTCCAGTTACACTCTGCCTCTACCTACCACTGTTCATTATGGATTTCCTGATACATTCTTTCTTTTTCCTCAGAGTAGATTTGAGGGTAGGAGAATGTGTATTAGGATCCAAAGGCACCAGATCTCCTTATCAGGGTCAATTCTAAAAACAGTACTAGTTGCTAGATTGTCATCAAAACTATCACTTCAAAGATCTGTTGACTCACTGGATAAGCTTTAAAAATGCAATGGTGATCTACTTCTACCGCTACACATCACTTTTTCTTTGTTTGCAACAATAGGTTTCATACAAATCTAGCCAAAGATCCAGAAGAATCCTTTGAAGTTGTGCAATTTAACCTCCCCAGAAATGCTCAGGTCCCTCATGTCCAGCAACTAAGCAGCTGCTCTATGAGTGAACGGTCCTCCTTCCCTTCCAGAGCGGCCTATCCCCCTAGTTTGGACAGTTTTGTCTCATCATTCATCCTTCAGCTAAGCCACAATTTGAATACCTGAGCTTTCCATTTTTATTCTTGCAGAACACTGAGCAAAATGGCTTCTACTTGTATATTATATTTCTGAACACATTGTGGACTTTTACTGTGTCCTTTCTGTGTCTTCCCTTTAGATCTTGAATATTCTCAGTAGGTTTTTTTGTTCATTCATTCGTCAGTTATTTACTGAACAGTACTGTGTGCCAGAGAAAGTACCAAGAACAAAGATGAATACTACACAGTTTCCTTACTTTAAAGGAAAGACAGACTCAGAAATATATAAACTCAAAATAGTACAGTGCATGGCATAGATAAACACAGAAATCTTTAGAGACTTAAGAGAGGACTGAATTACCCAGAGAAATGGAGTTGTGATCTTTTAATATTTTCTGTAGCACATGCCTTCTGAGCTTTATCTTGGATAATAGGTAGAAGTGGGCCAGGCAAAGGAGTGGTAGAAAGTTTCTGGTAGAGAAAGCAAAGGCCAAGAAACAAGTCATGGTGTCAGCTGTGCAGGAAAGAGTCAGCAGCTCAGCTGAGTGCTCCTGGGGGTAAAAGTGCAAAACTAGAAATGAAGAGGATAAGGGTAAGAGCTAGAGAGTGAATATGTTTCGCAAATGGGAAAGTTTTGAGTGCCCTCTCCAAAAATATTGATATTGTCAGGAGAAAGCTTCCCAGACTGTGCTTGCCTCTTTCCCTACCCCCTTACGCAGGAAATGATTATCCAAGGGGCCAACTCTAGTAAGACCAGTATACTCCAATTGATGTTCATGGAACTAGACCCAAATTATAATGAGGATACTCATCTTCCCATTCTTTCCTTCCAGAACCCCTAGATCGTAGAGAAACTGCCTTGTAAGTCACCTTGATGCTGTCCTGACAATGTAGTTGATGTTACAGTGAAAATGTATTGATTACCAGATGCCCGATATCACCGCCTTTTCTGCTCTTCCTTGGATTCTGTGAAGGGACAAATCATCTGGTCTTGTTCCCTGTAGCCTTACCCTTAGTAGCTACTCAGCCATACCGATAGAGTCATCTGGTGTCAGTAGATACTTAAAGCCAAGGATAGGTTCTCTTGAACTCATGGTAAATATTTATCTCATCCAGTTCATTTTGCTTTCTTAATTCAAGCCTTCCTGTCTGTGTCTTGGACCTGGCATACCCTTTCTCACCTCAGAGATTTTACATGTGTTCTTCCTTTGACTGGAATATTCTGTCTGCCTCCCCATTCCCATCCTGACCCTCTTAAAAGAGTAACTAACTGCTTTTCACCTTCTGGAAAAGTCCCTATGCTTCCTTCTTCCGCCGGCCACTCCTACACTCTGTACTTTCTCTTCTTGTGCCTCATCAACTGACATATTCCCTGCTGTATTTCCCAGAACGTAGTCCAGTGCCAGGCACAGTGCTGGTGTGTAACAAATATTAAATAAGTTTATGATTGCATGACTGCTACTGAGTAATATCTCTGTTCAGTGAACATTGCATTTTTTCAAAGAAAAACAGAATTAGAGAAATGTCAGAAGTATAAAGGCATGGGATTTTAGTTGTTATGGTTGAATTATTAATTTCAACTTTTCAACATAAATGTACAATTGTGAAATCAGCCTCCTGGAATTTTTATTATTCAGTCAATAAAAATTGCTAAACGTTACCGTACCATTTGTAGTGATAGAACTGTCAAGTTATAGCTGATCTGATCTTGACACTGAACTTTTCTGACAGTGCCTTAATTAATTTTTCTGGATTAGCTACTAAATTCTTAGTTTTCATTTCTTTTTATCCAAGAACAGGAATTAATCAAGTAGTTGTAAATTTAGTAAGCTATCTTGGTTGTAGTGAAATTAAATATCCAGTGATAGAGGACTGGTTAAATAAATAATAGGATATGACCTTGATGAAATATTATTTCATCTTTTTAAATGGATAATTATAAACACTACCTAGGTGTATGGATATGGCTTAAATAAAATGTGATTTAGAAGAAACATCAGAACATAATATGGAAACATAATGTAGTCGGGGAGATATAAATTAAAGAAAAATATGTAAATAATAAATATGTTAAGATGACTTGTGAATTTGGGGAAGACTTTTAGTTATGTCTTATATACAGATTTCAGAAGGTTGTATGTACATTGGATATCAATTACTGTAATCTGCATGAGTCAGTATGAAAGCTTTTTTAAAATATAAACTATCAAATTTACATGCTGCAGTGGTAATACTTTCCTTGTCAATACCTATTGCAAATTAAAATCTGCTTATTCCTGAAAAATATCTCACATTTATTATAACTCTAGAAGGGAGACCTGCCTTCTGAAGCCAAAGCTTATTGTTATATAGGAACACATTTATTTGATGCATAACAGTACTGGAAATAAAATTAAAACAGCCAAATTTCACTACTCTACCAAATCAATTTTCATGCAACTGGTTTCCTTCCATTTCTTTTTCCTACCTAAGTATAATTTTTACAATTGACACTAATGTTTTTGTATTTTTGTATATAACACAATTTATAAGCTTTATTTCCTACGTTGTAATGATCATTTTAATTGCTGTATAAAAGAAACTTTTCTTAAAAGCAAAAATTTAAGGCCCTTTGAATAAGCAAAAATGTAAGGCCTCTTCAATTCTTGCAATGCAGAGACAAACTTGAGTGTTTTTCCTGACCTTCCTTTGTCTGCTGACAGTGCACTTTATAGCTTTGCATGGAAGACTGTTATCACCTGATTTCCATTTCAGTAGTAAGATGATAACACGGAATGCAAGAGGAACTAGGTTTAGGTGACAGCTATATCATTTAATGTCTACTTATTGTTTCTCCAGGGGAATTCTGGCCTGGGATTCAGTATTGCTGGAGGGACAGATAATCCCCACATTGGAGATGACCCTGGCATATTTATTACGAAGATTATACCGGGTGGTGCTGCTGCAGAGGATGGCAGACTCAGGTAAAGCTCTGAAACATTAGAAGTATTTGGAAGGTAAATCTGCCACGTCAATGAGACATGTTTATACCTTCAGAGAATAATAATTTTACAAAGCTCTGTACTTGAAAGAAATGGCTGTCAAAGCAAGCTTTCTGTAATGACTTCACAGATTTCTTCTTACTTAACTAAAATTCAACTAGTATTTAATTTTTGTTTGTTGATGGGCACCATGTTCACCTGGCTCTGTAAGGAAGGTACACAGATAAATTTTTGTTCCATGTGGCCTTCATTCTGGTTGGAAGGAAGAATACCCAGAGCTGGTGAGCAAATGATAAAATGTATCAAAAAAATACTATACTGTAAGTAGAATTAGCAAATAAGGCAATGGTATACATACTGTGGATATTCATAGACTCAGCGACCATTCATAAGGGCTTTCTCCAGAAGTTTGAACAGAGTCTAAAAACTATTCTACAGAAAGATTCTATTCTGGGTCTTAAAAAATAATTAAGTTTTCACGAACGCCATAAATCTGAACAAGAACATGGAGGGAGAAAGGACCAAGTTATCCCAACAAGGAGAGAAATCAACTTCACGTGGATGAGGACCACATGCAAGCTCAGCATAGGTCGTAGCTGCTAAACCCAGGGCCCCCACTCTTGAAAGAACTGAAGATTGTTTGGGGGAACTAAGGGTTACACACATGGGACAATTAGTAAATAATATAAAATTGTCTCAGAGATCAAGGCACCCACTACAAGGCATAGGAGATTGGAACAATTAGAAGAGATTTCCCTGGGGAGAAAAGCATGTCCCAGTGTTCTTTAGGCCTTCCACTATACTGTGAATCCCCTCAGGCCACGGAGTTATATAGAGAAGCGAATCAGTAAATTCTGGTTGAGTGAATGAGTTTTTGAAGTAATTGATTAATTAATGGAGATGAAGTAGGAGGGTAAATTAATGAGTAAGAGGAGAGAGGGTTGCACAAGCAGAGTCCTTTAGGTAACACTAACTAACTTGCGTGGAGCTACAGTGGGGACTGTGAATTAAATATCACAAATGCATGCTTTGTAGCCTGTCCTCAGTTTGGTTTTTCTTTTTTTTTTTTTTCCATTAAACATAAGTAAACTAGTCTATTGTTTTTCTTACAAAGCAGTCAAGGACACTTTTGTTCCCTAGCTACTGTTCTGATGCAGTGATTCCTTAGGACAGCTTGTGCAAGAGAAGCCCAGATTTTTTTTTTTTTTTTCCAGATTTTTTTGCATCTCCCTTCAACATGAAAAACAGGAGGGACACTCCCACAGGAAACCCCTGCTTTTCAACAATAGAATTTTCAAACTGAATTGATGAGATTAATTTCTGAGTGAGGAAATATCCGTGCTACAAGAGTGAACAATTTGAAACAGATACTGTGTAATTCTTGAGTCATAGTGGGGACTGGGTTTGCTAATATTGAACCTGGAGAAGCACCATTTTCAAAATTTAAAAACAGAGTTGTTGGAAGACAGCTCTGAAATCGATGGTCCACAATGGATCTCCACAGCTCACACCACTCTGCCTAGAAGCAGGGGAACTTCCCTCTCTTAGCCGAATTCTGGGTCCACATTTGGGATAGAATAGCCTTTATGTTAAACATACTTGGCCTACAGTTAGGAATGAAAAGCAGCCATACTGCCATTGTTTGCTTGCAAATCTAGGTGGTGGTCTCATGCCTGTGGAGGTCAAAGGAAGTTCTGCTAGAAGCATCATTCAGTAGTTGGAAAGAGAATAATCATAATGCTAGCTAAAACTTATTGAGCTTTTTTTCTTTTTAAGATTTTATTTATTTATTTGACAGAGAGAGAGCACAATTAGGCAGAGTGGCAGGCAGAGGGAGAGGGAAAAGCAGGCTCTCTGCTGAGCAGGGAGCCCAATTCGGGGCTCGATCCCAGGACCCTGAGATCATGACCTGAGCCAAAGGCAGCCGCTTAACCAACTGAGTCACCCAGGAGGCCAAAAACTTGGTTTTTGTTTACACCTATGGGACATTGTGTTAAAACAGATAGAAATAGAGATGTACATAAACACATACAGTCTTCTAGATACAACATCCAATGAGGTAGACAGTAGGAACTGAGTCCTACCACGACCACATGAGCTTAGAAGACCGAAGCCTCCAGATAGAGAAGACTGTTGCTCAGCTACCATCTGGATTTTAGCCTCTAAGAACCTAAGCAGAGATTCCAGCCACACTGGACCAGACTTCTGACCTATGAAAACAGTGAGCTAATAAATGAGTGTTATTTTAAGCTGCTAAATTGGTGGTAACTTTCTAAGGAGCAATAGAACCCTAGCACACACCTCATTCTAGGAATTCCAAGTTCATTGTAAAAAGCCTTCCTGCATGAGGTCCGTCATATATAAAGTGACTGTGCAGGCTTAAGACACAGATGAAATGAGAGGCAGTTCTCTTCCTGATGAGATTAGACTCCAGAGTGACCTCAGGTCTCAGGAGTTGCCCCAGATGAAAGATGTAAGAGAAAGAACATACTCTTTGGAGTTAGAGGACCCGGATTTCTAGCTGTGTGGCCTGGGGACTCTTTTTAAGCTCTCTGTGCTCCGGTTCCCTCACTGGTTAAATTGGAGATAGGAGCATAGATCTGAAGAAGCTATGGCAAGGACTAAATGAAATGGTAAACCTGAAAGAACTATATAGAATTCCAAGCCCTCCCCACAGCTCATTCTGCCAAGCCAGCCATGTAAGAGCATGCGGAACTTGAGCCACAAGTCTGTGACAGCCAGGAAGGGACCCTGGGGGTAGAATTCTAAAATAATTCCCAGTGACCACACCCTTCATGGTCTCTTCCCCTTGAGTGTGGGAAGCCCCTGTGAGTATGACGAGCTATCACTTTCCTGATAATATTGCTTTATATGGCAAGAAGCGATTTCACAAATGTAATTCAGGTCCCTAATCCGTTGATTTGGAGTTAATCAGAAAACAGATTGTATTGTGTCAGCCTGACCTAATCCAGTGAGTACTTTAAAACCCAAGAGATTGTCCTGCTGGCCCGGACAGAGCAAACTTCCATGTTGGGGGAGGCTCTACGGAGGAGGCCCTGTGGTGGGTACCTGAAGGCAGCTTCTGGGGGCTGAGAGTGGTTCCCGCCTATGGCTAGTGAGATATGGAAGATTGCAGTGACACAGCTAAATTCTGGCAATAGCCACCTGAGCTTGGAAAAGGACCCCATGCTCCTGAAAGGAAGCTGAAAAACCAAGCAAACAAACAAAGCAAACCTTGACACCCTGTTTGCAGTCTTGTGGGACCCAGACTGAAGAACTCCGCTAAGCTGTGCTTGGACCCCGGACCCACTACAACTCTGAGATGAAAAATGTATATTGTTTAGAACTTTAAAATTTGTGGTAGTTTATCACTCAACTATAGAAAATGAATATGAATACTGTGGAATTCTGACTCAGAAACTCCCTCCTGGCTGGGTCCATTGCAGGCCTCTGCCGGGGGACCACACTCTAAACCTCAGAAACACTGAGCAGGCCTCCCGGGTTGTCCCAGACCCTTCACGCACCTGGAGGCAAGAGGCAAAAAGCACAATGAAAAGCAAGGTATGGGGGGTGGGGGGGAATCACTGCCCCGAGGGGAGAGAGAGCAGCAGTCTGTTTAATCTGATGGCTGGTGATATGAGTCTAAACTAGAGTGAGAGAAAGAGCCAGAACTATAGAGAAAATGGGGAATGAGGGCTAAATTAAGAGCAGTACAAGAAAGTACATCATAGTTTAGATTAATTTCTCTGGACAGTGACCTTTTCCCTATGCAACCTCTTTTTAAATATAACTTATTGTGTATATGTGTTTGGGGATATGATATGGATATGATATGGATAAAATGCAGAAGAGTAGACAAAAATTAAACAAAATACAACACAGTTATTTTTACACTACTCAGAGTCAATCACTATTAACATGTTTTGTGCATTTATTTCTAGGCTTTTGTTGCTATTTTTTGAAATTCTGTTTAGATCATGCTCTATACATTTAGCATTAACTTAACTTCTCATAACCTTATTAAATACACCTTTCCCTAGATAATTTTTTAAATCCTCTACAAGTGTTTTGTTGTTTAATAATATATTTACCACTTACATTGTTAAGAGTTTATTTTCAGTTTCTTAGCATTTTAAATAACTGGAAATCTTTTAGAAGACATTGTTGACCCTGATTTTCATAATTTCCTTAGAATACATTTCTGGTAGTCAAATTTTAGGAACAAAAGGTAAGAACACGTTAAAGAGTTTTGATACATACTGCTAACTTTCTTTCCAGAGAGACTGTACTAAATTTTACTTCTACCAGGAATGTTGGAGAAGGCTTATTTTATGATATGCTCTCAGAATCTCATGCACTTACACATATATAATTTGGGGCTGTTTACCAAGGTAAATAATGGTGTATTTCCTTGCTTTACTTTGCATTTCTTTGACAGTTAATAATAAGATTGGACTTTTCAAAAATGTTACAATTTATTTGTATTTTTTCTTTTGGAAGTAGTCATTAAAATTTGATAACATTACCTATCTTTAAAGTAAAAACGTTTTGGAAAGAACATTAGGTTTTCTTCCAGAGCAAAATAGATACATCTCCATGCTTTGAGGAGTGATTTTTATTTCTACTTTTGTTTCTGAACCATAAAAATGCCCTTTGTGTGGCTTCAAGTCCCTGGATTGCTGAGGACCAATATTGATCTGTCATCGTGGGGAAGAACTATCACATGACAGTCTCCATTTGGCGATGCAGCAATGACATTTTACACAACAGTGCATTTATTAAACCCATCCATAGCACAAAAGCAGCATGTAGTAGCAGGCAAAAAAGATGGCTGCTTGCCAGTTTCCTGACAAGTGACACAATTTAATCTCTCAGCCCTCAGCACAATAATTTCTATTCCTAGACAAGATGAAAGGAAAAAAAAAAAGTTTTCTTTAAATCCATTGCTTCATTTGTTCCTTCTATGTCTCTTTATGGGTAAG